CGGCATCCGTCAATGTCAGCTAAAATCGGACAAGACCCAGGCTGCACATTTGGGTGATCGACGTTCTTGAAAAGCATGGAAGTGGGGTCGCTTTTGGGGAGGTCTGCATCATAACCATTCATTAAGCTGTAAAGTGTGGATCACGCTACATCTCACAGTGGAAAAAGGTTTTAATAAGAGAAGAAGAAAAAGAAAACACTCACACATTACTTGGCTTGGAAGGTTCCAGAACAAAGGGGCATCGGGTGGATTCCTCACCTTGTGGGGCCAAGGGCCGGAAAAGGGTGGCAGAGAGGAGGCCTTGGGGCTGAAGAGGAGTTGAGGACCTGTCTCCCACATGGAGCCTGGGGAGAGGGGTCCTGGAACCTACAGCCATCACTACCCCTGCAGGAAACAGACAGCCCCACGAGTCTTGGGCCCTGGGCTGAGGGCATGCCTGGCACACACCTCACAGAGACCTCCCTGTGCCTACCTTCACGGCCCTGTGTGCTTCCCGCCACGTCCTCCTGTCTTCCCTGACATCTGTCTGTGTGTCTCTCCTGTGTTCCTTCTCTCCTTTCCAGTGCTGAAGCCTCAGTCTGGGGGCAACTGCCTCACAGCCATACCCCACATGCCTGGGAAGGCCCTGGGCACCTTCTTAACCAGTCAGCAGTGAAAGTGTCCAGGGATGCCTAGGCAGGCCTCTGGCTGGAATGAGCCCAGAGCGGCAAGGCCACACTCCCAGCAGGCATCCTGGCACCCCTCAGACAGCACAGACGGGCTTCTGGGGCACCTGCCCTGAGGAGGAGGGGAGCAGTGAATTGTAAATAAGGGACAGATAGGACAGGGGGGCCAGGCAGTGCTGGCAGGGGCTCCCAGGAGGGCAGTTCACCCACATTCGGGCACCAGCAGCCAGGCACTGGGCAGAAGGGGCGTCAGACCTGCTCCTACCTCAGCCCCAACAACCTGGCCGGCACAAATGAAGTGAACACAACAGGCTGACCCCAGCTCAGCGCTGGGCACACACACAGCCCCCAGGACCTGTGGGCGTTTGTATACCGGCAACGCAGAGGGCTCATCCAAGCACCACAGTTTTCTCTAAGAGTAATTCAGCAACGTTTGTTACCTCAACTTCCCATGCAGGAAACTTTGGCCTCTGGTTCCATCAAAATACAGCCCCGAAGCGCCTGCCTGCCTGCCTGATGCCACTGAGGCTCAGCTGAAACCCCGAGCAGCAATGGGTGAGTCTATGACCTGTGGCCTGCGAGGTGGCCCGGCCTCTTACCTTTGGGAGGTAAGGAAGTAGGCCCACCCAGGGAGAAGCAACCCCCAAGGGGCCTTTGGCCACCTTGTGTGACCACTCGGAGGAGGCGCTGGTAGCCACGCAGCCTCAACCCTGGGCTCCTCTGCACACCCCACCCTGACCAGGCCTCAAGGAGCCGGCCCTTCTCAAAGTCCCACTCACACCCTGAACTGGCTGCTGGGAGGGGTGGCCAGTGTGCAGGCCCAGCCAAGAACGAGGCACAGGTGTGCGGGCTGGCAAAGGGAGGGGTGGGTCTGGGGAGGGCCCGGCTACTCCCCATGCTGAGGAAGGCCCCAGCCCTCAGGCACCACAGGAGACCACCTCTGGGGACCTCTTCCATGTGCTCACTGTGCTCATGCACCAAAGAGGAGTCCCCTGCCCTGAGTTTAGGGGGTGCATCCTTAGTGCTGCGTCCCCTCACACTGATCTCTTCCAGGGGGTGGGGGCCGAGGTGAACTTCAGCATTGTTAAACCGCAGGTCAGGAGGCCGCTGGACCTCAGCCACACAAGCAGCAAGGATTTAGTCTGTTCTAGATCTCTCTCTGACTCCTCTCTCCCCTCCGTGGACGCCCAGGAGAGGCCTGCCCCTCCACAGTGGACAACATACACCAACCATATGACCCAGCAATCCGACGCCTGGATACAATGTTTCCCTGGAGAAATGGAGATGTAGGTTTACATACAGACCTGTCCAGTTCACCCACGGTTGGCCTCAGCAGCCCGGGAGCCCGACATTAACAGCGTCCCCCTCTGCATGTTCTGGAGGCCTGCTCAGCCCTGACAGCCTGGGGTATACAGCTCTGGCTTTCTTTCCTTCAGAGATGAGCTTGCTCTCCACTGTTGTCTCCAGGCCCCTGAGCACAGACTCCAAAGGTCTGCATGAGCTCCCAGTACCAGCCACAGGCAGCTGGGCCAACGCTTTAAGGCGACTGTACTCCCTTCCAGTCAGAGAGGAAGGTGGAAGACCACAGAAAATGAGGCTTGAAGAGCCTCAGAACCTTCCAGCTGATGAAACAGACCCAAGCTGCCCAGGAAGGCCGTGAGCGAGTGGAAGGCCAGGCTCCGATGTGAGCAGCTTGGGCTTGAGCCATCAGCCCAGGGGAGGTTTGCTCTTGGAAAGCAGACCTTGGAAAGCAGATGAAATTACAAACTCCAGAGTGGTAGGAAATCTTGCCTATCATATACCTGATAAGGGACTGCATCCGGAATATATTACAAAACAACATCAACTGCACTGCCACCAACTCAACACTGACTCATAGTGACTGTGTAGGATGGACCAGAACTGTCCCATAGGGTTTCCAAGGCTGTGAATCTTATGGAAGCAGACTGCCTCATCTTTCTTCCAAGGAGCAGCTGGTGGGTTTGAACTACTGACCTTTTGGGGAGCAGCTGAGCTCTTTAATCACTGTACCACCAGCACTCCTCAGAATATATACAGAACTCTCTAAACTTCGCAGTAACAAAATGAACAACTGAACTTTAAAATGGACAGAAGGCTTGAACAGATAGTTCACTGAGGAGGATATATGGGTGGGAAATAAGGCCTTGAAAAGACATCCAAACATCAGGGAAATAAAAGTGAAAACCATGATAGAACTGCTGACAGACGTGCTAAAAATAAATAAATAAAAACTGGCAAAATCGCAGCAGCTTGGGCTTCCTTTTGTTGCTGGTGAGAATGCAAAACAGTGCAGTCTGTCTGGAAAACAGCTTGGGAGTTTCTGATAAAGTTAGACACACACCTACCACATGACCTAGCAATCCTCCTCTTAGATACAGTGTTACCCTAGAGAAATGGGAACCTATGCAAGATGGTCATAGCAGCTTCATTTGAAATGGCCCTAAACAGAAACAGCCCAAATATCCTTTAAAAGGCAAATGGACAAACAAGGGTGGTCCAGACATAGGCTGGGACACTGATTGGCAACAAAAATAAATGAACTTTGACACACACGACAATGTGGATGAATCTCAAAGGCATTGCACTAAACCAAAAGAAGTCAATCTTAAAAGATTATGTACAGTGAAATACACAAAACTAAAGTGACATGGGTCAATGCATTTTTTTTAAGTGTTCCCTCCCCTCCTCTCCCAGGGACAAAGCCCAGAAAGCGACAGGAAAGAAGGATGGAAGGGAATGGTAGACACAGGGAGAAGTGGGAGGAGCACCGTGGGGGCTGAGTGTCATGAAAGAAAACGTGCACGGACTACTGAATGGAAAACCACTTTGCTCTGTGAACTATCACCCAAATCACAATTTAAAATATACATACATATATATATATATATATTAAAGACTGTATATTCTATGCTTCTGTTTATTTGATATCCTTGAAAGAAAAGACAAAATGGTAGTGAAGGAGAACAGATCTGTGGTTATCAGAGGTTTAGGGTGGGGGATGAGGCATCATGTGAGAGTGTTGGGGGGAAGTGTTGGCAGTCCTGATGGGAGCGTGGTTACACGAATCTATACTTATGTTAAATTCATAGAACAGTACACTTTTTTTTTTTAGGATTTGGGTGAAGATTTACAGAGTAAATTCACTTTTCATACAGCAGTTCACATATACTTTGTCTCATGCCATTGACCAAAATTTACAATGCAGCAGCTCCCCTCCCACTTCCTCCCCATAGTTACCTCCTCCCAGTGTCCATCCCTTCATCCTCTTCTGCACCCTGAGCTATCTCCCTGTGCATAAGCAGCCCTTCCTTCTCCCATGATTAGAACAGTACACTTTAAAAGGCCATTCTATGTTAACGATAAAATCAAAGGAAACGTTTGCTTCAATATTGTGCAATCCCACTTACAGGAAAGATCTGGAATTGGCGACTGTACAATGCCAAGGTTTATTACTTCTCACTAGGGCTGAGGGGAGGGAAAGGAGGGGTCACTGCCCATGGGCACTGGGTCTCTGTGAAGCGGGGGAAGGATTGGAGTGGTGATGGCTGCACTCATTAATAAGTGGAATTAGTGTCACGGAATTGTACATGTGAATCATGTTGAAATGACAGATGTTTTGTTATATATATATATCACAATTTTTTTTTTTTAAGAAAAGGGGGTTAACATAATCAAAACAAGCTAAATTTTTTGAAAAAGGAAAAAGCAGCATTCGCCTCCTTATCTCCCAATGGCTGCTGTGGATGCCCCAACTATTGCCCTGCAGTGCCTGGACTCCAGCCGTGGACCTGCCACACACCCCGCTCATCATGGGCACACCGCTCCTCAACGCTGGGTCCTCAGAACGTTGCTCTCTTGGAAGGAGCCAGGAACGCAGAGCCAGATGAAGAGGGGCTGGCACGGGCCTGGACCAGGAGCCCACTAGGAGCTCACACAGGAACCACCGAGCCCAGTGCAGATACCAGATGAGGCATGTTCCAGCCAAGGGGGTGCATGCTGGGCCCTGCTCTCCATGTCCCCCCATTTTGTGATTCTGAATGGATAAGGAGCTGGGCTACAGATGCAGGGGTGACCTCCTGGGCAGCTGGGCCCCTATCTCACTCCGCTTGTGGTCAAGCTGCGGCCAACGCCTCCTTGAAGGACAATGAGGGTGGCAGGAGTGATAGCCCCTCACCCCACCAGGCCCCACTGCCCATAGTCACAGGACCTGATAAGACACCCACTCCCGAAGCCCCCTCCCCTCTCCCAGGGGCCTTGGCTCCATATAAGGGGCCCAGGGGGCTGAGCACCTCCAAGGCCAGTCCTGACCTCCACTAGCTGCCACACAGCCGCCGCCATGTCTCTGACCAAGGCCGAGAGGACCATCATCACGTCCATGTGGGGCAAGGTCTCCACACAGGCAGACAGCATCGGCACCGAGGCCCTGGAGAGGTGAGTTCCGACAGGGACAGGGCGTGTGATGAGGCTGTGGGGGAGGAAGGGGTCAGCGAGGGGGCTCAGTCAGGAGGTGCTCAGTCAGGACGGGTGGTGAGAAGGAGTGGGCTAGGTAGGTGGAGAGGGCATGCTACAGGTGCAGACCGCGTCCCTCAGTCCCCAGCGGGGCCTAGCGCTGGGCCGCCACAGACACCTGTTGGAGGAATGAAGGAAGGAACGCTGGTGGGCAGCGGCCAGAAAAAACCTGAGCCTGCCTGCTTTGTGCGTCACGGCCTTCTCGCGTTCGTTTCGCTTTTTCCAAACACTGCACTAAATAGAATTGATCTTGACCGCTGGGTTTGGGGCGCGCCGCACGCTGTGCACCGAGAGCCTGACTCATGCCCCTGCTCCCCGCCAGGCTCTTCACCAGCTACCCCCAGACCAAGACCTATTTCCCGCACTTCGACCTGCACCCGGGCTCGGCGCAGCTGCGCGCGCACGGCTCCAAGGTGGTGGCCGCCGTGGGCGACGCGGTCAAGAGCATCGACAACATCGCGGGCGCGCTGTCCAAGCTGAGCGAGCTGCACGCCTACATCCTGCGCGTGGACCCGGTCAACTTCAAGGTGCGCGCCGGCGAGGGGCGGGGCGGGGGGCGGGGACTGTCGGGGCGCCCCCGGGCCCGCGCTGAACCTCCCACGCCCCCAGCTCCTGTCGCACTGCCTGCTGGTGACCGTGGCCGCGCGCTTCCCCGCCGACTTCACGGCCGAGGCCCACGCCGCCTGGGACAAGTTCCTGTCGGTCGTGTCCTCAGTGCTGACCGAGAAGTACCGCTGAGCGCGGCTCCCCGTGCCCCGAAGGCAGGCTGCGGCCCCGGGCCCCTGGAACACCCCAATAAACGCATCAACGCCCGCCTGGTCTCTGTGCTCACTGGGCCTCAGGGAGGGGCGACGGCATGGGTTCACTGGGTGGGCTACGGGGTCCTTCGCACCGACCCCAGGGTGGTTGGAGGGCAGAAGGTCCGAGCCTGGGGCACTGGCACTTGGCTTCTTGGCAGCTTCTCCTAGGGGCAGTGCTGGGTCCCACTCAGGCCCTCCAAAACCGAGCTCGGCCACCTGAATTGATACCATTTCCTGGTTGGGTGTGATCTGAACCCCTCCATCCCCTCCTGGAACAAAGAGGGGGGTGATGGATGCATTCATCCCCAGATTAAACAAACATTTACTGGGTGCATAAGAGGGTCCAAGCACCTTTCTAGGGCTACAGATACAGCAGCTGAAATAGCAAAGCCTCCCCACCCCCAAGGGAGCCCATGATTAATGGGGAGACTGGCCTGATACCAGAGTTCAAAGAAATAGAGGAGAATGTCCCTTAAGGTTGAGAAAAGAGGACCAACCTAACTCCCAATGGGAGAAATGCAATTAACAGCACAGTAAAAAGAAAACCCACTGGGGCCCGAGTAAGGAGCTCTGGTGGCATACTGCCTAAGACATTTGACTGCTAACCAGAAGGCTGGTGATTCAAACCCACCAGCTGCTCCCAGTGAGGAAGATGAGGCAATCTACTTCTGCAAAGATTTACAGACTTGGAAACCCAAGGAGGCAGTTCTACTCTATCCTGTAGGGTCACTGAGCTGGAATTGACTTGATGGCAGTGAGTTTGGGGTTTTTTGGTTAGAACAGCATTGGTGGGGAGACTTCTCCACAGCTGTAGATTGTGCATTTTCTTGTTCTGCTTGTTCTCTGCACATAGTCTTCACCCCATAATCTGAGGCATTCTAAGTCATGATCATAATGACCAAAGGCCCTCTCATCCATCTGAATTACTGAGAGCAAGTTCCTCTCCTGGTAGTTTCTTCTGAGCATCTTGACGCAAATCGACTACTGGTCCCAGCGGAAGACATTAATATGTGGGAAAAATAAAATGGTTCTCAGGGAACTACTTTGGGGATATGGATGGGACCTAGTAACTTGCCAATTTTTCCAAATTCCCAGAGTGAAGGCACTGCATGTGAATTCCCACTTAAGCAGAAATAAGATGATGGAGCTATTGACTAAATATCGGTGGGGGCATTTTGGGATGCTGCTGGTCATGTTACCAAGCACTGTTCTGCCTGTTTCAGATTTAACTCAGGGAGACCTCACCTTGAAGATACTGCTGCCTTCAGGGCCCAGGCTTGCATGACAACTTGATTTCACCCAGCCACCAGCTCTAATGGTTATGAGTTTATGTTAGTAACAGTTTGGAGATTTTCACATTGGATGGAAGCTTTTCCCAGCCACCATGCAATGGCTGCTTCTGTAGGAAAGAAACTTCTTGAAAATGTTGTTCCCACCTAGAGAGCTCTAAGACCTTCGTAGTGATAGAGGCACTCCCTTCACTGGATAAGGAATAAGAGAAATACTAGGATTTTTCCAATTTTCCAAGGCTTCTTTGCCCTTATTACCCTTAATCACCAAGCCTTATGAAAAAACTAATGGCAGTATGAAGACCCAGCTTTATACTTGTTTACACTGATCTTGGGTCCTGGTGCCCCCTCTTGTTCTTTTAAACATACCATCTACACCATTTGGGCCTTAAAGTTTGCCACATCATGAGATTATCAGTAGATGATGACCTACGGTCATCCCTTACTGGTCAGCCTGGACTGTTTAACTTGATTACAACCAGTTTGTTAAAATACTGTCAAGCTATAATTCAATATTACAAAGAGAATGCTTCACAGATAAATAAAACTTCCAATAAGAATAATAAAAAAGGATGTTTTGGTTATTTCATGCCACTCTAACAGCAAACACCATCAATGGGTGACTTGAACAACCAGGAGTTTATTCTCTCACAGTTTTGGAGGCTACAAGTCTGAGTTCAAAGTGCCAGGCTCTAGGGGCTGGGTAAAAGCCCCTCAACCTTGGGCTTCAGCTCTGCCTCCTGCTCCTGACCCACTGAAACTGGAGGCTTTTCTTCACTCAGGCAGCTGCTGGCTACTGAGGCTGACAAACCCAAAGTCAACAAGTAAAGAGCCACAGTCCCAATATGACCAAACCACACAGTAGGCCATTGATTCAAGTCCATTAAGAGTCCCAAGATAGGTAGACAACATGGCAGACTGCTCAACAATGACTCAGCTACATGCAGTACTCAAGCATGCCAAAAAGCTAGAGACCTTCCTCAAAGCTGCTTCTTACACACTGGAGGCAGACCACAGCCCTAAAGCAGCTGCTCACCTGCTCCAGGAGATTCCACCATGGGATCGATTGCCGGTCTCACCATGGGGAATAACTGCATCCAGATGCCCAGCCACTCACCCAGGTCCGGCCAAATTGACAACAACCTTCACTACCATAGTAGATATATCTGTAATAGCCTTCCATTTCACCTGAATATTATGTTTATTGGAGAAGACAACAATTAAAAGATCTTTTTTTTTTTTAAGAGGAAGTTCAATGTATTGGCAGGCACAGGCCAGAAGGGACAGTGCTATCAAGGCCTTCATGAATGCAGAGCCAGCCACTTGTCCAAGGGGCCAGGATTGGGTATGTATTTGACCCCACAACCATCTAGGATGAGGTGCTTCTCAGCCACCATGTCTTTAAACTCATAAGCATTAAACTTGGTAAAGCCCCACTTCCTGGAGATGTGGATCTTCTGGGACCCAGGGAACTTGAACTTGGCCCTTGTGCAGGGCCTTGATCCCATGCTTCTAGTTTTGAAGTTTGGTGTGGATGGACATGATGATGTGTCCAATGTGGATGCTGGCCACTGTACCCTGGGGTTTCCCAAAGACACCTCACATACCCATCTGGAGACTAGGTTAGGGGCAGCAGAAATTAGCAAGGCCAAAGACATGATAGAGCAGGACAGGACTGTCTCCAAAGTCCCTTAGGACAACTGACATGTGCCAACAGGCTGCATATGCCATGGAGGAGGCTGCTGTTTGTAGCCATTGCACACCGGCTGCCACAGGGAAGGAAAAGCCTCTTTTGAGCTGCACTGGAAAGGTCCATATCTGGGCCTTCACACTAACTTCTCACTAACTCTTATGCTGCCAAATCACAGAGAATCAAACCTTGGGTTCGCCTATGTCAAATGAAGAGAACCCCCATCGACTCTTGGACTTGAACCCACAGAAGGACTGAAATTAAAATGCCAGTACCCTGGTGGCCACAAGCAGACAGCATCAGAGGCAGACACTCACCCCATGATCAGGAAACAAGATTTCGTGCAGGTGTTTGAAATTGTTGGACTTTGTTTAGTTCCTGCTGCTTTGGAGTCTGCCTTATTTTACAAACTTGGGTTTCTCGATGGGTAAGGACTTGGTGTGCAAGCTGATGAAACAACGTTTGCCCCATACTTGTAGCTATCCTCTCACTGGTTCGGGGGTTGGTACTCCTTGCTTGGTTTCACCATTATGAGAACTTTACAGAGACGATCGGTGCCTGTGGAGTTCTGTTCCTGACCTGTGTGTTACACCTTGTAGGTGTTAGTCCTTGTTTTAATATTACTTTTTCCAGGCAAACACCTGAGGAAGGCACTTGTTTGATCTTAGCCACCCTTTCCATGGCCTTCGCCCTGTTGTATCTTACTTGTTTTCTTCTGCTATGAAGCTCTTCTAATTCCACTATTATGTTTCTTAACTCTTAACCAATACCAGCATGAAAAGTCCTTTGTTAAAGCAGCTCAAACAGTGGTAGTGCTGACAACGTACCTGATTGTGGACCTGTCATCCATCATTGGAAACTATCCACAAGAACTCAGATCCCTTAGCTTCCTGGTACTAGATTATAGTCTCTACCCACTCTAACTATTAACTATAATGTCATTTTAAAAAAGACATACATGTTAGATTATGGCCATCCCCTAGGGTATTGTGCTATCCTCAATACAGTACTGCAACTTAACACCCCCAAGTTAACGACACACCAGAAGGTTTCCATAACTATGCTAATACAAAAACTGATAAATTCTATCCATACAAAGACTGGTCACTTATATGTCCAGAGATTCCCAGATACCTTCAAGCTTTTATGCAAAAATTCTGTACCAGAATTAGAGGCAGGTCACCACTTTGTCATTAAGATCCCCATCCTATATCCTAGAGACTTTGGCCTGTGCAGTTGAGGGGCTTAAGGGTTTTGAGGTGCCTGCTGTGAACAGCCTGATGTTTTGGTTGCTTGGGATAGGTCAGTAAATAAAACAGAAACAAAAGTTCCTGCCCTCCTGAGCTTACATCCAGTGGACAATAACAATAAAACAGAAACAATTGTTTCTGTGGAAGGACAAGAGTAGAGATGGGGAGAGGTTGGGAGAGCAGGTGGGGGTGAGACTAGGGTTTAAAAGCGGATGGTCAATAAGAGATCTACATAAGAGTTCCGGCAAGATGGCGGACTAGGCAGAAGGATTGCACAGACCCTCTTCAACAAAGAAAAGGGAAACCGATTAACACAGACACAGAAGTTAATCTTGGACCCCTGAGCCTTGAAGGGAAGGATACAGAATTGGACTAAACCC